CCCATCCCATCGTTGGCCGGCTTGTCCCACGTCATGTCCGACAAGTCCATCTGCCAYTGCTCGTCCATGGAAAACACGACAAAGGGACGACGAGGATAATTACGCCGTGCTGGGCGATGAATTTGGTGTGTCGTCTGCGCTTCCAGCCACTTCTTCTTGATGGCTCTCGCTCGAGACCCCTTGGAGACGTCGCCGGGGTCGGACAAGAACGCGGAGGTTCCCGCTAGGGCTTGGGGGTGTTCCGCCCCCACTTCGAAATACCGACTGTACCACTTGGACGCTTGCTTCTTGCTGGCCACCGTGGCGGCGGCTCCGATGCTGCTCTTCTTTCCTTTCTTCCCTCTCGTCTTTCCAGCGGCGGATCGACCTTTGCGCGTGGATGACGATGGATCCCCCGCAGCACGACGAGAGGCAGCATCGGACGCGCGCTTGACGTCCGCACCCGATGCGGTTGTTGCTGATGTCGCCATCCGGCTGGTCTTCTCCGTGGCTTCCCGACACGATGGCGGCGGCTTTCTTGGCCAACCAACGCCCGATTCGTCCTGCGGCGATTTGAGTCATGACGATGAACACGTCTGCCTTTATGCCCCCCTTCTTTTATGGACCTTTAATAACCATAAGGCAACGTGGTCAGGCCTTGGTCAATACGTTGTCGTTTGGTATAGACCAAGCGCACGTCCTTGTCCATGGGTACCGTTCGCAGCACCTTGTGCGCGCTGTCCCTCACGATCTTGCGCGGGTAACTCACCGTTACCTTTTCGTTCTCTTGGACGAGCAGACGTTTCATGCTCTTGAGGTGGACCAGTTCTTTAGCGCAGGGGGTCAATCTGATGCCCTTGCACTTCACGACGCACTCGCCCTTCTTGGTACGGTACGCGTACGTCTTGGGGCCCAAGGACACGTATTCCACGATCCAGTTGGCGTCCGAATCGCCGCATTCGTCCGACCACTGCCCCAGCTGATCCCCCGTGTCCAGTTCCTCGTCGCCTTCCCGCACCGTCTTGTAGATGATGGAATCCGTGTCGTGGTACAGCACGCGGTCCCCCAGAGCACTCAGCTTGTCGTACAACCGCAAACGGGCCCAGGCCGTCACGAACGCAGGGATGACGACGTTGCCGTTGGGGTTGCACACCGTGGACTCGCGGTGCACGTCGTAGTTGACTTGTACCATGTCGCCCGTCAGCAGCAGCACCGTCTTCACGTTGACCGTATCGTCGTGCAGCAGTTCGAAGAAGCGGCAAGGTTCCGTGACGTACTCGACCTTACCGCGAAACGGATTTTGTCCGAACTTGCCCCACAACGAATTGAGGTTCAACTTGGCCACCGAGCGCAGCCCCGGATTCCTTACGACGTTTTCGTACTGAAGATCGATGCCCTGACTGGCCTTCACGGACCGCACGAAGTCCCGCTTCTTGTCTTCCGTGTCGCAATCGGACGGCCACCCCGAGGCTTCCATCTTCATTTTCAGATTGTCACGAATGTACGATCGAAACAAGTCGYTGCTGCGTTCGGGGTAGTGCCACACTTCGTGCACCTGCGCCACGTCGTACCCCTGATTCAGCGCTTCCTTCAACTCGGGGGTCGTCCACACGCCGTGCCGTAAGCGACGCTCTTCTAGGGTGTGCGTGCACTCTCCGTTCTCGTCCACGTCCTTTTCGTCGCAGCAGGCCGCGCACAGCGTGAACATCAGCTTGTGGTCGGCGATGCGCGGAAGCACGGGAAAGAACAGTCCGCGGGGAGGGTCGACGTCACACTTGACCAAGCCAAACCACTCTTCGTCCAGAATACAATCCGCAATCTCCTCGGGGTCTAAATCCAAATCGTCACCCAAGTACACCATGGGGTGGCCTATGGGGTACTCTTCCTCCCACATCACCGTAGGGTA